CTTAGAACCTCACCTTCTAACAAGTAATAAATAAAATAATAAAATAAAAATCATAACCCTGCTTGAGGTGAAAGATCAGTCTCACCATAGCTGAAACTGGGCAAAAAGGGAACTGCTTGTACATGGCCATTAAAAATTTGGGCAGCGTTGCAAGCTGGTGCTTTATCAGGTAAACAGAGAATACGAGGCAGCAGACTCTCTCCCAGCAAAAATTATTTGTTTCGAAAGCCATATCCCATAAAACTTCCACCTCTGCCTTTGAGGAGGGAACCACAAAAAACTGCTTTGAAGAGTTTTCACAATGTCAGTACAGGCAACACTGCAATTCAGTCATTTAATGCAACTGGAAATTTTTGAAAAATTTGCTATTTTCATGCCTTTAAAGAGCTTTAAGGTAGGCAGGTTAGAGCACCAGGTTATCTTTTCGTCCCTTTTTACAGAACCACTGAGCACTTCCATTACGGGGAAACAGGTCAGAACTCTCCTAGTTTTCTCTCACGATTTGCTGAGAGAAAAATTAAATATTTTTCCAAATGTTTCCACCCTAGTAAAATTAAATATAACTGCCCTGTACCTAAACAGCATATGCCATTGAGTTTCTTGGAGGCATAAAAAGAATTTAAGAAAAAGATGGGGATAAAGGTTAAAGCCAATGAAAAAGCATGGAATTATTTTACAGAGAGTTTCTAAAGATTATTCTTTAAAGGTCAAAGTCCAAAAGTAAAAATGACAGCCAATAGCAAGTGGTCTTATCTAGGCTTAATAAGGAAACATGCAGGACTACGTTTGGCTTTTATAACTAAGGACTTCCTGCAGGTGAGTAAAGAACAGTGAGCAGGGATGATTTCAATGTGATTGCAGATTTCAGACATGACTGCCTGCATCCTTAAAAAAAAAAAAAAAAAAAAAAAAAAAAAAAAATCGCATTCAGTTCTGACATCAGTATCTCAGAGAATCTTACAGTGTGATTTAGCCTGGTTTAGGTCTCACCGAATAGGAAAAAAAAAGAACAAATAAAAATAGATTAAAACCATAAACCAAGTGTGTTTCAGAAGCAAATTGGACTATAGAAAGGTTAATGAACATCTTTTTTAAGAAAGATGATAAACTGATCATCTAAACAAATTTGCAGAGTCATTATTTTTAAAAAAAGGGCTCCGAGACTGTCAAACAATCCTACAAGAACATACACCTGAATCTTCCCCTGAGTGCTCTAGGCTAAAGCTGCTTTCTGAAAGAATACGTCTGGCAGAAAAGCAAAATAAAAGTTATCAATTCCTTGATTTAAATAGATTCCTTTTCCTTACTTGCATGTTTTGATGAGGATCTTGACAGCATCTGTCTGTTCTCATGATTTCACTTCTGGCTTACAAAAGCATAAAGTTGTGGGGCTTTTTTGTTTTATTGCATGGACTGATCACAATGCAGTGATTTTACAACTGGATACTTGTGGGAAGGTATCGGAACCGAGAAGGAAGTGATGCAGAAAGGATTATTACAAGGAAATTCCAAGTAACACGTCATGAAGTTCTTGGCGACTTCTGCCTGTGTTTCTTTGGGAGTCTTTTAATACAGACCAGCAGAAAGAGCAGCGAGAGGAAAGAGGAGGTCAGGCAGCTGTAACAGAAAATCACAGAGCAGTTCTCGCTCTGTGAATACGATCGAAGCAAACCAGAACCGACAAGGGCGTGCAGGGTCAAAAAGACAGACCAGTGGACTTGAGCATCTCTGCACTCCAACTACAGATCAGAGACTCACTATTCAGAAATCAAGCCTCCATATAAGTCTTACTGACTATGTAAAAGGCTATATAATTCTAGTAGGAAAGCAGTGTCCCAGGAGTTTTGCCTGGCTCTCTTCATTCACGAGTGCAGCTGCCCAGCTCTTCGGGCCGTGGGAAGTTTTCTCTCGTTTTTCTGTGCTTTCTATGAAGAATAAAAATAGAATTTTCCACCACATCTTGATTCATTCATCCAATTTGATCACAAGGTGGCAAAATTTGCCTACACTCCCAGAGTAACAGCTGGTTCTTAGTTGTAAAAATAGAATAAATACCAAAAAAAATAACTCCAAACTATTTGATATCCACCAACTTAACATACAGAAAGTAACAAATCCATGGCTGATAAAGTGAGTAAGAATAATAAATATTTACCTGGTTCTTCTCGCAAATTTTACACTTATTAACATCTCAAGTTACTGAAGATGCCATATATTTACTTCTTCCCTTACACAATCCATAAAAAATAAAAAATGAAACTTCTTCTATCAGTGATCTTACTATACAAGAAGTAACTTTATTTAATCAATAGCAACAAAAGACTACAACATAGTACAGAAACTAACCGACAAAGTAATTGTACTAACAGAAGTACCTACTACCATCAGAAGGTCAAATTACTGTAATGGAACTATGGTCTTTCCTAAAATAAAACAATCAATCAATAAAAACTCCACCATGTGCACACCACAGACCTGAGATAGAGAGATCTTCTCAAAAGCAGTCTTCTTTCACACAATATCAAAATAAAGACATCTACTTACAAGAAATAGAAAGCCTTATAAAGCAAAACACAAGTCAAAATTGTTGTATTTTTCATTTTCAGCATATATTTGTTCACGTTAATAATCTATTAATCAGACTGTCAATAAGACTGATTAAACTGAGATCCTTTAGAAAGCTCTGATTAAAGTCACCTTATATATATATATATATATATATATATTTTATCCAACTGCCTTAGCAAGGATTCATTTCATTTTTCCTTATTGAGCAGT